ACCAAAAAAAAAAAAAAAAAAAAAGAACCACACCTAGCTGAAATGCTTGCTGAAGGTAAAAGAAATAGAGGACATGTAATGGAAGGAGGTAGTTATACATACTAGCCACAAACTTGGGACCAGTTACAGAAACAATTACTAGGACCGTCATGAGTACTTATTCCTTGTCATTAATGTTTATGTATTCATGTGTATATACATGTATAACCAAATATTTGTCTTCTTACCTCTTACATGTGACATAAAATTTTATTAACTTAAAAAAAATCATTTCACCATATATATTAAATTGTGTTGTAAACTCTAAACTTACACAAAATATATCTCAATATAGTGGGAAATTATTTTGATTATGTCTGTAATGAATATGTTTTATTGTTGCCTTGATTTATAAACTCACAGATTTCTTCATTATTGCATTTAAAAAAGTACAATGTTAAATTTATCATTATAACCTTCTGAAGTATAAAAAAATAAAATGAAATAAACTGGTAAAAAAAAGAAAGAAAAAGAAAACAAATGGAAATTAAAAGAAAAAAAAAAGAATGATATGAAAAGGAAGGTGAATCCGGGGCTAGGCTGCTCCTTCACCTCGCCAGGAGTGCGCAGGAGCTTGCATCAGTGAGCATAGACCTCGAGACGTGTGCTGCCTCTGAGCGCTGTTAGAGGAGGCTTCTCTGCTTCCTCTGTGAGGTCGCTGAGAGTGTCTGCTGCACACAGTGGGGCATGGAATACCCCAGGAGTTTTTGCTTCCTCCACCAGATGCCTGTGTTGGTTCATTATTATTCAATGTCTGCATGGAATTCTGATTTTCCTACAATTTCCTGCTTTGTGAGTGATGGAGCTTCATTCCCAACCTGATTAGTACAGGCTGCATCTAATGATCTTCTCTCGGGGAATAAAATGCAGCAGACACGAAGATACATGACTTCTGAGATTAGATCATAGGATGTCGTGTGGCCTTCTCCTGGCTCACACACTGTGGAAGGAGCCAGTGGCCGTGTCATGAAGACATCATCCGTTGGTGGGATGTTGACCAAGGCTGTGCTTGCTGAGCCAGTTGCCAAGCCCAGCCTTCAGCCTTGACCTAGCTGACCTCAAACTTGGTCTCTGTCCTAACTGCAACCTCAGGAGAGCCTCTGGGTGACAGCCATCTTGCTGAGCTGCTTCCGAATTCCTGATCCACAGACACTGTGATATAATAACTGCTTGTTTTTAGCCCATGCATTTTGGGGAAAGTTGTCTTATAGTGGTAGATAGGTACATACTGACTAACACACTGCTTTCTCTGGGCTTCTGCCTGAGAGTCCTGTCGAGTCTAGACATTGCTTCAGGAGTAGGGGACAGCTGAGCCAAGGCACTGGCTCTGCAGAATGTTCCAACTGCTTCTAGAATATCCTTGGTTGGCAGCAGCGGAGTACGCACTGGCACTCACATTTTCTGAAATCAAAGAATTTTTTTTCAATTTATTCAGTTTTATTATTGCTTGTTTGTAGTACCTAATAACTCAGTTTATCTTGGAGAGTGCGTACAAGTACACTTTGACAATCTATATTCTTCTTTTTCAATCCCCTTCGCAGCTCCTTCCTACTCTTGGGCCCCTTCCCACTTGCAAAAGCTTTATTTTTATCCTTTTCACCTTCTCTTCTATTTATCTCCTTTCCCTTTTTCCTTTTCTCTTCACTATTTCTCTTGTTCCCCCATTCCACTGGAAAAGATCTCTCTAATTCCTATTCATCAATATTTTATATTATGTGCTCTCTCTCATATATAATATATAGATTTTTTTTCTTAAATCAAAGAATCTTAAAGAAACATTTTCCCCAGATATTAAAAGAGCCAGGTCAGGACCCTGAAATTCTGACTTTTGCAGATTGTTACCCAAACAGTGTGGGCTGTCAAACCCATGGACACCAGCTGATCCTTTGCTCTGCATGAGTCTGGGTAGGACAGTCCATTGGGAGTTCTCTTTCCTAATCTGTAGAGCAAATGACAGTCACAGGTATCTATTACTTAGGTTATGTTTGGCTATGAGGATGGAAACAATAGCTTTGTCAAGGCATAGACTGCTTTGCCCTCTGCAAAGTCCAGAGGCGGAAGTTTCTGAGGGGTGGGGGCCCCACCTTGTCCAGATGCCCACCTTGTTCGGGATCTCTGGTTCATGTTGCTGTACCATGTGGAGTTACTTCAGCCAAAGACATATGCTTTAATTCCAGCACATTCACTGAGAAGCAAAAGTCAGATAGGGACTACGTGTCTGTCAGGGTTCGACCAGGAAAACAGAACAAGCAGAACGTACATGTATTTGTTTCAAGGACTTGGCCTCCCAGCTGTGGGAACTAGAGGGACCAGTTCAGGGCCTGTGGTCTTGAAGGTTGGAAGCCCTCACATCGGAGATGACATTGTTGCCCACGTGTTTTCTTCTGAAGTTTGTCCACTGATGTCCCTCACCTGGTTGAGTGAGGCCAGCCCATCCAGATTTTGAAAGATAATCTGCCCTGCTTACAGCAAATTTCCAGGAGAACACAACAGTGACCTTCATGGGCTGCAAGTCCACCCCAAGCCCAGCTTCTCACAAGTTGGACTCTGCAAAGCTGTGAAACTTTCAGGTGCATGTCAGGTGACAAATCAGGTCCCACTGCACATCATAGAAACTGCAGAGCTAGGACTCAGCCTTGGTTGGCAGGTGGGAGTGGAGACTCCAATCATGGGCTGGAGACACTGGAGTTTGACTGGGGACTGCAGTTGGATACTAGCTTCAAATCCTCAAACTCCCTGAAAGGAGAACTGGGCTGTTTCCTAGCCTTGATTTGCAGGCTCTGCCACAGAGCCCCATGTCCAACAGGGAGCCCTCATGCCCACAGCCCCATGAGTTTTCACCATTCACTCGCTGGCAGGCTGTGTGTGCGCCTGCTTATAAGTGATGGGGCAGTCTTTGCTTCAGTGGCTGCTGCAGTGGCTGTACTCACAAGGAAGGGGTAGAGAGGGGAGGCAGAGGCACACAACAGGTGTCTCTTGGGTGTATCCTCAGGTGTACCTTGTGACAAATGTGTCTATTGTCTCCACTGACCACATCTTAAGGGAGCATGAATTGTGTCATATTTCTTGGCTCCTAAGCAGAAAGCAAGCATGATCCCAGCTGGGACAGGACTTCTTTGTGCAAATTAGAAAAGGTAGCTTCTGTGGGTAGACAGAATCCCCAGGCAAGTAACTCTGTTCCGTGCCTCACCCTGGGGTGGCACAGCAGTAAGCCAGGTGGGAAACTAGAGCCTCGGTTCCACACCAGCCCAGCTCCACTCTCCTTGCCACCCAATTCTCTGCAGCGGTGTGGTCTGGAGACCAAGTGATCCATGGATCAGCTTGAAAGTGTCTGGTTCATTTCAGAAACTGGGACAAGCTAGTGAGCTGGGCATGTGTGTGCACCTTGCACCTTGCCAGTCACAGAGCTTAAGTGCCATTTGATTCTGTTCATTGTCCCTCTGGAGGTGGAATTGTTCTCTCCTGTTCTGGTACCTACACAGTGGCACAGCGAGCTCCACCCCAGGTCCACTGTGGGGTCTCAGTGATGATGCAGTGAGGTCACAGGACCCTGAGGACAGCCGCAGCCTGTGAGAGCCACATTCTGTCATCAGCTTCTAGCTCCTTCCCATGGGGCAGCTGCCAGTAACTTCCTAGTCCGGAAGCTTGCAGGCACACTTAGAGTAAACTCCTCATGCAGGCTGCAGGGTCTGCTGGACTCCTCCCTGCCTGCCTCTCCCTCCTTCCTGCCTGCCTCTCCCTCACCCCTCTCCTCTCCACTCCACAAGCCCACAGCTCTTCCACTCGTGTATGTACCACCAGACCCTGCTCTCAGCGGGCTCTTCTCCAGATCTGCTTGAGGCTGCCTGCTGAGCAGGCTGTGTTATATAACACAAAGGTCACCACTGCAACTCTGAACTGACATGGGGTTTCTCCCTTCAGCATTATTAATATTTGGGGCTGGATTCTTCTGGGGTGACGTGGCTGTGCATCTGCATCCCTGGCTCCCACTGAACCCGTGCCCAGTCACACAGCACATGCCTAGGCCTGGCAGCCCAAAGCATTTCTATCCAGTCCCATAGGTCCTGTGCAGGCAAGTGTCGTGACTTCCGTCCTGTGTCCCAACCACTCCAACAGGAAAAAAATACTTGTTCTTTTTTTAGTGGTTCTGACTGTAAATTCCACTGTCTAACTTGAGTCATGTACTTATTGCTAGGCCCATCCTGTGGCCAAAGAAATGGGATAGACCACATGACCAGGCTCTGCTTCATAGAGCTGGGTGTGGCTCAGCCACCCTCAAAGCCTCAGTGGCTAAAGGGACTCATTGTTCCCAATGGATGAGGTAGTGGTGGCCACAAGGGAAGAACCACCGTGCGGCCTGCAGGGAGTCCCTTTGGGAAGGTCTTCTTTGCTTTGTCCCTATGTGGCAGCTAGCACTGAGGACACCTCATGCCAATGTCTTGGGGTCCTCAGGTGGAAAGAAAGTGTAGATCGTTTCAGTTTTTAGTCCAGGGGACAGAGATCTGTTAAATGGGATTGGGTATTCTCAAAATTGCATAGAAAACACTTGCGTGTATATGTGTGGTTTCTCTCCAGATGGTCCCTGGCCCTCATTTAAAGTTTACCATCACCCCCAGAATGCACAGAGCAACTGCCCTAGGGCCCAACTTCCTACTTTCCAAGCATTTAATGGGTCAAGTACAGGTCCAGGAGGAGCCACTCCATCTATGAACTGTACCCTGCATGAACGGCCTGAACCTGCTGTTTTGAGTACAGTTTTTTTACATTAATTCCTCTATGCATTTTCACATCATCCAATGATTAGTTTAGATCCACCCAAATGTTCTCTGTGATTGTATCAATAAAGGTTCTCAATTTTTTCCAACAAAGCCAAGAAATCGAGATGGGATGAGGCTAACCTTAGTGTCTCTCTCTTACGAGAAGCTCCTAACAGGGTGACTTCACACAAGGAACCCCGGTTGGGAAGGTAAGGAGCACTTGCCACCTTGCCTCTGTTCTGAAGGGTTAAGACATGCAGGAAACAAGCCAGCATCACTTTCTTTCAAGAGTCAGCCCTGTGGCAAGGGCCCCTTGGTAAGGTGAAAGCATGATGCCATGGATTATAGCTAAGTGTCTCCCAAATGCCACATGCACTCATGGGAAATGTTTTTGGAAGATGGTTGGGTTCTGGGGGCTCACAGCCTTCTGTTAGGAGGTGGTGTCTGGTCAGGAGAGGTGGTCCCTGGGGGCCTGACCTGGAAGCTTCATCTGCCTCTGATTTGGGTACTTGAGGGTGCTTGACTGGCCTTCACTCTGCTCCCCCAAGATCCTTTCTCACTTGAGTCACCTTCCAATCCCCCCACAACTACTTGCCTCAGCAGAGAAGCCCTGACTGTCACGACCTCAGCCGTGGCAATGCCCTTGCTGGCACAGAGCACGGCCCAGACAGCCCGGCCCCTCCAGGGCCCGCTGCAGTGTGGACACAGCTTGTTCTGAGTGGATCCTGGGATCCATCGGGTCCTGACAGGGACATCCATCGTTAGGGGGTGGAGTCTTGGAGGGCCAATGAGAAACTCACTCTTCTGTAAGAAGCACAAATTAAAAAGGTTTAAAAAGAGGTGATCAGAGAAACACCCCACCTGATCCGGAAGTTGCCAGGGAATCCCCTCCAGGAGGGGTTAAAGGACTGATGTGCTGACTGTTCATCTCTAGAGCTGGCTCCTCAGATTGAGGCCAAGTAGCCGGGCTCTTGAACATGCCCCTTCTTGGGTCACTTGCTTCATTCCTTTTATCTTATTTTTAAGTTTTACGTGGATAACCTGATTTCTAAATCCAAAAGTTAGAACACACAAAGTGATTCCTGTGCAAAACTTTATTCCTGTCTCTGTATCTGCAGACCCCTGTATCATAGCTGCTATGCCACTGTATATATCTTTTTAGTAGTTTAAAAATGTTTTCCCAAGAAAACATGAAAACAAACTCCTACCTTCTTTCATAGCTTGTACAAACAAAACGTGCACAGTGCTGCCTGTCTAAAGTACCCAGATTCACGTTCAGGGCTCCATGGTATTCCAGCGCTTACAGACTCCATGCTTTATTGAACTTGTCTGTTGCTGATGGAATGTTTTGATTGTTTCTAACCCAGTGATTATACAAATCATATAGCAATGAGTAATAATCAGTAGATGGTGGAGATCACTGTTAGAAGCTACAAGTGGGTCAATGATTTATGATTGAAAGAATAACTTAAAAGTATTTAGAACACTGATTTCTAGGCTCAACAGGTCAAATCCCCGGCAGCTGCGGACTGTAGCGGAGCTCCTCTGAGGCAGGGCCGAGGTGCAGGCGCATCGATGTTGCTGGGTTGAGAAGGAGGGAGGTGAACGCATGTGTGGAAAGGGAAACTTTGTTTCGGAGGAGTTTGGAGGACGGCGGGAGATGGACACTGGCCAGGGGAGGTGAAGGACTACTCACTGAGCCAGGGTCTCTGGCAAGACAGCGGCTGTGACTATCCTCGAGCTGGTTGCTAAAGGCCTTTTTACTTTTCTGGGTCGTGGACCCGTGCTCAGGCTGTGCAGCCCGGGAACTGGCTCGGGCAAGGGGGAGGGCTGGGGTCTCCATCGCAGGTATAGGGCTTCTGCTGTGATGCTCTGCATTTTGTACACCAAGAGGCTCAGAGAGGTTAGGACGTCGGTCTGGCAGGAACAACAAGGAAGCTAGTGTGATCACAGCCTGAGAGAGCAGCCTGCTGGCTGGGCCGGTTCCTCCTTGCTGCTGTCAGGAGCGCACATACCTGGCCCTTCCTGTTTGTCCTTGTCTGTCTGTCTGTCTCTTTCTTTCTTTTTCCCCTCCTTCCTTCCTTTTCTCTTTTTTTTTTTCCTTCATCTTCTCTGAACCTACCTGCACTGCTATGGTGTAACTCAGCTTCCCGAGATGAGCTTCTCTGAGGATGCTCAGAGGTGTTTTGTTTTCTGCATTGTGTGATGTGTGTGTGTGTGTGTGTGTGTGTGTCTGTGTGTGTATGCTACAATCTCAAAGCTGTAATTCTTATAAGCAACCTTTCAGTGACCATGGATGAGGAAGCATTTGGAGTCACCTGCCCTCGTTACTGGAGGGGCGCCCCCTTAAGGACTAAGACAAGCTGCGGCCTCCAAGCCTGCGGCCCCGCAGGAGGAATTCTCGGCGCAGCCGCGCTCCGCC